TATATATATATATATATATATATATATATATATATATATATATTACTGTGGTTCTTGAAATCCGCTGGCGCTTTAAACCAGTGGGGGCATGCAAGGAACCAAAGTATTTGCACATGAATGCACATAGCCACATAAATATAAATTAAAAACATATACATATATATACATTTGTATGTATATAAACAAACAAACGCACACACAGAGAGAGTCAGTGAAAGACAGACAGCAGACGCGAGAAAAAGCAAGACAGAGAAGGAAAGGGGGCCAGAGCGAGGCCAAGAAAAGCAAAGAAAGAGAGCGAGAGAAAGAGAAAGAAAGAAACAGAGAAGAGACCCCTTCACCTGTTGAGGCGACGTGTTGCAGCTGATGATCGTTCAGAAGACGCACGATGCGGCCGTCCCATAAACCCGTCAACAAATAGCCAGCAGGCTCCTCCAGAAAACTCTCCGCACCCTAAAAAAAAGTCAATATGTTTATTTATGCGATATATATGTATGAACACTTAGTATCTGCATGCAATATATATATATATATATATATATATTGAATATGAACATGAATGTATGTATGTGTATGTATGGATGTGTGTACGTGTGTGTGTCTGTGTGTACACGTAAAAACAAATGCATAATTACTGTGTACATGCTTTTTATGCATGTACAGAACATAACATAAACATAACACATACGGAGACAGAAGCGTCTAAAACAGAACTGAGCAGCAGTGAGAGGGTTTTACAAACTGAAAGGTGCAACTGTAGGGTCTCTCTGATTTAGGAGAGAATTACCCCGAGTTGTTCTTCCCCATAGTCGAGGATGTCGACATCATCTTCTGCAATTTCAACATAGGCAGCGGCCCATTCAGCTTCCTGCGGTGTTGGTGTGCAGTATTTTCTCAGTCTTTCAAGCGCTAAATCGTGATATGCAATTACAATGGCGAACACAACCGCCGCAAAGGCCCCTATTGCCAACGCAGATGACCCGATATAACCCATTTCTTCCTTCTTTTCTTCTTTTTCTTCGCTGCTTTCGGCCGCCGTTCGTCTTCCGTCTTTCCCTGTTCGCTTCACGCGTCTTCAGATACGCAGCTGCGGGTGGAGGTGGGAAGTTCTGCTGAAAAAGAGCTAAATACGGGAAAGATATTATAAAGAAAACCTTTTCGAAGGCAACAAAGAAGAGGTTTCCCGGAGCTTACGCAGAGTGGTTTCGTCGTCGCTGCGGCGGATGAGGTGTACGATTAGCACACCAAGCGGAAACACGAACAAGGCAACGCTGCCGTCACACAGGAGCGAGCTAGAGCTTGCTTTCTGCAGCAAAAGAGATGAAATTAAGAAGTTACTTTGTCTTCTCTTTGCGTATGCTTCATGAAGACCGCAATACGCCTAACACGCTGGCCTGCTGGACCCGAAGGCGGGCGGAAACGTCAGAGACGATCGGACCCACTTTCGGGGATTCCCGCATTTGTTAGAGGGATATAATGTCGAAAAAGATATATTTAATGAGGGAAATGGATCATTTTGCAGCTTTCCCGGTTTTCTTCTGCTGCTCCTCCCTGTGCATGCAAGAAAGGCTACTGCAAGCCAACTCTGTCCGGGGTTTCCACGTTCCATTCGCTGTTTGCTCACAAGCATATGAATTTATCTCCCTTATCGGAATATAACTGTTGATTTTCTTCGTAACGGGAGCTTCAGGGCCGTATTTATTAGGTAGATCGGCCTAGCCCTGCTACACTCAGAATGGCTGAGTTGTACGAGGGCCTCGAGAAGGTGCCCACCTACTACGACAGGCGGACTTGTACTTCTTTAGAGGACTGGAAGGAAGCCGTGCGGACTTCCCGCGCCGTCTATGTAGGCAATTTGAACTACTTCACAACGGAGGAGGAGCTGTACGAGGTGGGTTGTGCAGCAATGAACACCACACCCGCAGCAGCAGTTGCAGCATCGGATATTCCATCAGTACATACAGCTTGTGCCTCTTTATAGATGAAGGTTTCATTCGCTTGCATCATGGACATAAGATATGCTCCCTTTCCTTGTTCCCTTTCGCATGCTCTTTTCTTTCGCCTGGTAGCGTTGGTGTTGATGCTGCCGCTGTTGCTGTTGTTTTCTGTGCAGCTTGTCAGTCATGCGGGTTCAGTAGACCGCATTGTTATGGGTCTCAACCGCCTTACAAAGGCCCCTTGCGGCTTTGCCTTCGTCGTCTTTCGTTCACCTGAGGAGGCGAAAGTGGCTGTGCAAATCCTCTCAGGCGCACAGTGCGATGGCCGCGTTATTCGAGTAGACCCCGACAGCGGCAGAGATATTGACGGGGACAGAAAATACGGAAGAGGTCCGAGATGCAGCAGCAAACTATTCAATTCACTGTTGCAGCAAGCACAGCGGCAAACCCAGCAGCAATCCCAGCAGCAAACAGCAGCAAACACCTGTAGAAAACACAGCAGCAGCCAGTAACATGCCTCCTCCTATGCATGTTTCTCTGCTGTTTCTGCCTGTGCACCGATTGCCTCTCGCATTTTCGCGGTTTCACTGTTTAGGAGCGGCGTATACACCGCACGCACGCATGCATGCATGCATGCATGCTGCTGTTTGCCTCTGTTTTGCTGCAGGCACAAGCGGGCGCCAATGGAGAGATGAATGGCGCGATTTCTATGACCCTGGCCGTGGCGGCCAGGGAGGAGAACACGGAAAAAGGGCCCGAGAAGAACTTGAAGCCTCTTTAATGGCTGCGGCGATGCCCCCAGTAGACCCAAGGGGCCCTTACTCTCGTAACGTACGCCATAGATGGGTACCAGGGGGGGCGCCCCCTGGGGGACCCTTTGGAGGGCCCCTGGGGGGACCCCCTGGGGCACCTCTGGGGGGGCCCCCAGGCGGGGGCAGAAGGGGGCAAGGACAGCCATGGGGGCCCCCACCACCACCAGAAGACAGACGGCATCATACACACGAAAACCCATTTGCGTATAATCGGAAGTTTGCCCGCGGACGACGCAATTGATGGTTTCTGCGGATTTATTTATTGGGGTGTATGCACACCTCATGATGTGGGACAGACAGTGAAGAGAGGTGGTATGCACTCGCTACAAAGAAGTGGAGGAAGCGCTGCAGCCGCTGCACGAAAGCTGCTGCTGCTGCTGCAGTGCTGCTGCAGCAGTTCTGCTGCCTCTATGCGTCCGATATGCGTCGCTTTACTTTAATGATGTATTGAAGTCCTCTTTGAATATAGAAGAGGAAGTGCAGTTTTTAACAGTAAACGCTCATGTACGTAAGTGAAACCTCTGTTCCGGCGCAGCTGCTTCAGCACTAGCAGCAGCTCTGGCAGCAGGTGCGGCCGAACCTCTAATTGTTTTTCTCGGCACATTAACTAAATTTGCTGCTACAATAATATCTACGTCTCTATTCAAAGGAGCATTAACGGCGTTGAGTTGGGAGAGTGCGTAGCGCTCTATTGAGGCTGCCGCTTCAGACAAAATTCCTTCTCCGTGGCTGGTTGCAGCTGCAGCAGCACCAGCTGCAGCAGCACCAGCTGCAGCAGCGCCAGCTACAGCAGCACCAGCTACAGCAGCATGAGCTGCTGAAGCTAAGCATCACACTGGCTGCTGAGGGGCTTCCGCCTTCGGCGGACGCTGCGGTGTCTCGACAGTTGGCCCGGGGGGCGACGGAGAGTGTTTTAGCATTAGCAGCAAATTTGAACACTGCGGGCTTCTGCTGCTGCTGCAGCTGCTACAAGCACTTAACTGCAGCACGCACTTGCTGCAGCGAGCGGTCGGCTCGCAGCAGCGGCCGCAGCAGCAATAGCTACTACTCACAGCAGCCAATGCATGGAATAAACTGCCAAAAATAATGCTTCTATCATTTCACTGCTGCTGCACTTCCTGAGCCTCAGCTGGAGCGCCGCTGCTGCTGCTGCTGCTGATGTTTCCCTCGCCATCCCCTTTCTGCTTCTTTTGCTGCTGCTCCCCAGGAGAAACCCAGGCAGCACTGCGCTTGTCCGCACCTCCTTGCTGCAGCTGCTGTTGCAGAAGCTGCTGCTGCTGCTGCTGCAACATCTGTTGATGCTGCAGCAGCTGCTGCTGCAGCAAATGGCGCTGTAACTGCTGCTGCTGGAGCTGTGCTGCAGCGCCGACTTGCTGCGGTTCTTTCCCCGTTAGCCCCGACTTCTGCAGCTGCAGTAGTTGCTGCTGCTGCAGGATCTGCTGCTGTCGCTGCTGCAGCAGGAGCTGCTGCTGTCGCTGCTGCAGCAACAGCTGCTGATGCAACTGAGGTGTTTGGATCCTCTGCTGTTGCTGCAGCTGCTGCTGCCGCTGCAGCTGTTGCTGAAGAAGCTGCTGCTGCAACTGATGCTGCTGTAGCTGCTGTTGTTGCAGCTGCTGCTGCTGCAGTTGGTGCTGCTGCAGCTGAGGCTGCTGCAACTGCTGCACCTGCAACTGATGTTGCTGAACTTGCTGCTGGAACTGCTGCTGCAGCTGCTGCTGCTGCAACTGGTGCTGCAGCTGGGCTGGCACGTTTCGTAGCTGCTGTTGCTGCTGCAGCTGCTGCTGCAGTTGCTTCGCCTGCTGCTGCAGCTGTTGCGCTTGCAACTGTGGCTGGCGTAACTGCTGCTGCTGCGCTTGCTGCTGCAACTGCTGTGCCTGTTGCTGAAGCTGCTGCTGCAGCTGGGGCTGTCGCAGCTGTTGCTGCTGTGTCTGCTGCTGCAGCTGTGCTTGCTGCAGCTGCCGCTGCTGCAGTTGCTGCTGTTGCAGTTGCTGCTGCAGCAGCTGTTGTTGCTGGATTTGTTGCTGCTGCAGATGCTGTTGCTGTGGCAAGCGCTGTTGCTTGAGGATGTCCTGCTGTTGTTGCAGTTGGGTCAGTCTGCGTTGCTGCTGTTGCAGCTGCTGTTGTTGTTGCTGCTGTTGCTGCTGCTGCTGCTGTTGTTGCGAAGTATCTTCTGTGATACGAATTTGATCGCCATCTGAAATATGTCCCTCAAAGTACTCTCCTCCCATTCTTTGGCTGCGTGCTGCTCTGCGTTGCTGCCTGCTAGCACCTCGTGTGGTTGCAGCAGCAGCAGCAGCAGCAGCAGCTGGAGCTGTCGCTGCCGCCGTGGGTAGTGTGGCAGCTGCAGGCGCAGCCGCAGCAGCTGCTGCTGCTGCTGCTTGGGCGCGTGCTGCTGCAGCAGCTCCCCTGCCGCCGTAGCCACCCCTGCCTCTTCCCCTCCCACGACCTGTTGATGCTCCCTGAGATCCATCTGCACGAATTGCTCTTTGAAGTGCTGCTTGTGCTTCTCTGCCATCATCAATCTCACGCATCTGGCTGCTGCAGCGTACCTGCTGCCCCAGACTAAGGCGCATGCTGACAGCATTCTGCGAAGCAGCAGGGTTGCAGTACAGCAACTTCTTGCATGCAGCAACAAACACTGCATCTAACTGAAGAAAGATAGCCTCTAGGGCTTGAAAAGATCCACAAGGCCAATGCTGCAGCTCACCCTCAGTCCCTTCAGACAAATCTAATAGACAAGAACGCGTGCAAGAAACAATATCTCGCAAGAACACCAACAGACGCTTATCCAACGCGGCTGTCTCCGGGGTGTACGTACACTGCAGCTCTGCAGGAGGCAACTCGTTCTGAGGAAACATAATGCTTATTGCTTGGCGCATTTCATTCATATCCAGCACTTCTGGGGTAGCTTCAGTTAAGGCGCCGAATGCCTCAGCAGCAGCTGTCATAAGCACCTCAATGATCTTCACCTGCAACGGCATGCTCGTTAGCCGCACCTCCTCGTCCACCGCCTCTTGCTGCTGCTGCTGCGCCTGCTGCTGCTGCTGCAGCTGCTGCTGCTGCAGTCGCTGCTGCAACCGACGCAGCAGTTTCAGCTGCACGTCCAATGTCTCCACCAATATCTTCATCGCTGCATGCAACTCATCCAATCTCTCTATCCGTTCTACACCACCAAATACCCATCCCTCTGGCAGCACCACGCCTTGTTGCTGTTCTGGTTTCTTCTGCTGCTGCTGTTGTTGCTGCTGTTGCTGCAGCAGCTGCTGCTGCTTGCCCTCCTCTGCAGCAGCCAGTGCTCCTTGCGCGAGGCCTCTGATTGTATCTTGTAATAAATAGCAAATCTTCACTCGCCGGTAATCGAACCCGCGTCTCCGCGCCCTAAAGGCCTGGTAGTGGTTGCTAATCCACGAGTCAGGAGCAGCAAGGCGAATAGACCCCCTAGAAAACAAATGTTTTATTTGTTTGCATGCAGCCCCAAACTCGCCCCCAGCCAGAGCCAACCGTGCCAGAAGATACCGAGGGGTAGACGCCCACGAGCTCAGCTGCCTGCATGCACAGCAGCAGAAACAAACAAACAACGATAAACAAGGCATCGCAACCCCCCCTGCATGCAAATGCCCGCAGTTAAAAGCCCCAAAACAAACGAACAAAGAAACAAGTACACCCAGAGACACCAGCAGAAGAAAGGAAACGCAAAGGGATTTGCATGCGCCTCTACAGGACGCGGGAGTGTGGTGTACGTACACTAAACAGCACGAAGCATGCATGCGCAACCCTCGCACTCTTACCTCTTGGCAGCGAGATACTGCAGACAATCTACAGCGTCCCTCATTACATCTGCTGCGCTCTGTAGAGGCAACAAATGGTCCCCTGGGAGCACAGGCTGCTGCTGCTGTTGCTGTTGTTGCTGCTGCTGCAGCAGCGCCTCGACTTTGCCTGTCCTCCACATGTACAAGGCTGCATCTAAAGCCGCCAGCGTCTCGTGCTGCTGCTGCTGCTGCGGTCGGGTATACTTCCACGGGAACAGAGCAGCAAGCCGCCACAGCCTGCCCCCCGACTGCAGCAGCAGCCGCACCCTCATTGCATGCAAGCGATAGAGAGGCAGCACTATTGGCATTATGTCTCCATCTGCTTCTACCAGACTCTCGATGTCTCCAGCGTGCTCTAAATAGAGCTGTAGAGACACCTGAGACGAGACAAACCGGCGGCCTTCTGCTGCTGCACCACTCCTCTGGCTGCCGCTGCTGCTGTTGCTGCTGCTGCTGCTGCTGCCGCCGTCCGAGTTGCGCTGCGCGTGGTTGCTGTTGCGGGGAGAAGAAGGACCCAGCTGAGGGCTCCTCCCCTCTGCAGCTAAAATGCTGTCAGCCCCAAATGATTGAATACAGGAAAGGAGTAGCGCGTCTGCAGCATCACAAAGAGCAAGTGCATGCAGGCTACTCACGGTAGAAACTGCAGCAGCTTTTGCCGATCCTGCCGCTGCGGCTGCTGCTGTTGCTGCTGTTCCCTCGCCTGTTGGAGTTCGCTGGGATGCCTCCCCTTTGGTGTCGCCGTTGGGCGCGTGGCTGCTGCTGTCTGCTGCAGCAGCACCAACGCTCGTTGCTGCTGCTGCTGCTGCAGTAAAGGCAGCAATGTCCGGCACGGGTTGGGGATAGGACGCTTCAGCTGCATCAGAAACTGCAGCAACCGCCGCTGCGGCGGTGGCTGCTGCATCGTTGCTGCGCGCATCAGATGCAGCAGCAGGAGCAGCAGCTACTGCAGCGATCCGGCGGAAGCACTTGGCTCGGATCAGCAGCAAAAAGAAGAAGAAAGCAGGAGGTTCTGCCCATTCCCTCGCTCGACTGAAAGACGCCGACAGAGCCAAGGCGTCCCTCAAGCTGTCTGTACACCCCAACTCCTCTTCCTGCTGCAGGGCCCCCACCCAATCTGAGGGGGCCCCACTGACAGACTGCGGCACCTCGCCATTGAACATAAAAGACAAGAGACGACTCGCTTCTGCAGCAAAGCCGTATAGCAGCAGGATGTCTTTCTTCGTGCTGCTGCTGCTGGCGCTGCTGGCCGCCAGAGATAACAGCTGCCGCGAAGACAAGTGTACAGACAACCCGCGCTGCTGCTTTATGTGCTGCTGCCTCTCGCTCAACTCCTCCCCCTTTCCAGAGAGAGACGACAAACAAAACAAAGAAGACAGGCGCCGGCAATCTCCTACTCTCCTCCACCACTGTGCATGGTGCAGCGCAGCGTCCGCTGCAGCAAGTGTCCCGCCGCTGCTGCTGCTGCTCGCAGCCGCGTCCTCCGCCATTGCAGCGACGTCTTCAGCACCTTCTTCTGCATCTGCTTCTGCTGCATCTGCTGCTGGGAGCGACTTGAAGTGCGAAAACTGTAGCAGCAGCAGCAAGAGAGCGTCTGTCTTTGCTGCAAGGTAAGACCACTCTGCCTCTGCGCCCGAGAGGTGTTTGGGGCTGAAGGCCTTAACTGTATCAAGCAGCACTTCACTCGCCTTTCCCTCCGCCGTTCCTGCCGCTGTTGCTGCTGTTGCTGCTGTTCCTCCTTTGGTCTTGCTGCGATTCAGCTGCAAGAAGCAGCGCCACAGCTCAGCTGCAACGTTGGCAACGAGGTGAGCTTGAGAGAAGAGCAGCAGCAGAACGAAGGCAGACGGCACTTTGTCCCCCTCTGCAACCACCCACTCCAAATGCTGCTGCTGCAGCTCTCCCTGCTGCTGCTGCTGCTGCTGCTGTTGCTGCCAGCCCCCTGTAGAGGCGAAGCGATCCGACAGCAGCACCGTCAGCTCCAGCAGCACCGCTCGAAGAGCCTCCCACAGCAACGGATTGTTGGGGGGCCCTCCTGCTGCTGCTCTTGCTGCAAGGCCAATGCGCTCAAGGGCCTCAACTTCCGCAGCAGCTGCCCTCTGCGACTGCAGCAGCTGCAGCAGCAGGTGCAGCGGATACTGCCGCAGCGACGCTGGCATCAGATGGGTAGGGCGAGACGTTAGCAGCTCGACAGCGGCAGCAGCAACAGCACTCGAGGCCCCCATTACAGCAGCAAAAGGTGCAGCACCAGGACGCACCTGAAAGGCTGCTTCTAGCAGGGGAAGCGGAGGAAGCTGTCCCCCCACAGCTGAAAGTGACTGGCGCCGCAGCAGCTGCAGCGCGGGCGCTGGCAGCAGAAGCAGAAGGAGAGCAGCCTGCTGCTGCAGGAGCTGCTGCATCTGGTCGTTGTGCTGCTGCAGCAGCGAGAGACGCGTGAGGGCAATGCTGTCAGAAGCCATATCATGCCTCTTCTGCTGCTGCTGTTGCTGCTGCTGCTGTCTGTGGATGAACTGAAGGAAGAAGGGGAAGTGGGGTTTAGGTGTGGGGGACATCAACGGAAGCTCTTGAGCTCGTGCGTAGCTGCAGACTGACAACAGAGTAGGAAGGCAGCAGGGCCTGTTGGGGTTGGTGGCGAGGATAAAAGGAGATACCGAGCCTACGCCATTTGAATCAATAAGAAAACGCCGCAAGTAAGAAGGCACAGCCAGCGGCTCCCCCACACATTCCCACAAACTGTCCCCGGTGCCGCTGCAGCAGATGCAACCACCCTTGCTGCTCCTGCTGCTGTTGCTGCTGCTGCTGTAGTTCGTGAGGAAAGGAGGTACACAAGACGGTCTGCTGCCTTCAGGGGGTTTAGCGCTATTAAAGCAAAACAAATCTGCGGCTGTCACTGCAAAGCGCGCAAACTCCCGCGTCTCACGCGACGGGACTAAGAGGGAATTCAGCAAAAACTCCTGCAGCAGCAACACCAAACGCATGCAAACACAACCACAGAAAACCATACAATAGATATAATATATATGTAATGTATAATATATATGTATGTATTAAATACAGAAACAATTCACGCAGAATATAGGAGGTGAGAATCAAAACGAGCAAACAAAGAAAAACAAACACAGACGCGACAGCTACAGCAGATTATACACCACAGAACACGGAGGAGCTCTCACGACCCAGCAGCAGCAGCAGCAGCAGCAGCAGCGCACAAACGACCTCTCAAGACAAAAGAGAGACGAAACGGCAGACAAAACTGCAGCTGTTTAGGGTATAGGGCTTAGGGCAAACGCGCTGAGGGCCCTGCTGGTGCTGCTGCTGCTCTTATTGCTGTTGAGGTTGCTGCTGCTGTTGCTGCTACAGAAGCCCTGTTATTGGGAATGTTTGCCCTACGTTTTCATGCAGACTCCATCCGGTGCATCTTTGCACGCTGCGATGTATGTACACCCCAAGCATAGTGGTTAGGAGCGAGACTTCAATGAAGGTGTTCTTGAGTTTCTCTTTCGTCGTCTGTATGGTGAGTTTGTCTAGAGGGGGGGGCTGCCGCGGCAGCAGCGGCTGTCCGTACAGCAGCATGAAGCAGCAGGCCAGCTTGTAGGAGATATCCCCCGTCACATCATATACTTCTGAGGCCTCCCATCTCCATCCATTTGCCTCAGCAGCAGCTGCTGCTGCTGCGGCTGCTGCTGCGTGGCTCCCTGGAGGGCCCCACAACAAAGGGATACCGCGTGCTGCAGCTGCAGCCGCTGCTGCAGCATCAAGAGCTGCCAACGGAGCAGCAGGCAGGTACCCTGGGGCGAGGGCCGGCGCTGCTGTACCAGCACGCGACAGCAGCATCAGCCTTGCGGCGAGCGGTACCAGGGTGAAGACGTTTCTGCAGCAAGGGACAGCAGCTAAGGTCTCCTTGCTCACTTGCAGCAGCTGCTGCTGCGCCTCCATGTCCGCAGCAGCAGCAGCAGCAGCAGCAGCCAGTGGCCGCAGCTCCCGCTCGTATCGCCGAATAGCAGGGGTGCGCAGACACCGCAAAGCAACAAGCAAACAAGACAGCGGCAAGCAGGACGTTGCGATGCCCGGAGGCAGAAAGAGCTCCACCCCTGCCACTTGCTTCGCTCCTCGCTGCAGCAGCGCAGCACAGCAGCAGCACCAACCGCAAGATGACACACTGCAGCAACACCAGCACCACGTGTGAGCGCCCACTGCAGCAGCAGCTGCAGTGGGTGCAGCAGCTGCCCCTGTGCTGCGCAGATCGCAGCTGCAGAGGAACAGCGGTGCTGCTCCTCTGCCGTCCATACACCCGAAATGTATCTATACGCTTCTGTGCCTCCGTTTGTGCGCGTGTGCATGCATGCATATCCACTCACCGCCACCTCGGCCTCCGCCTCCCTCTCGGTGTCCGTTCTATCCCAAGGCAGCTCCGCTTCACTCCAGTAGCAGCTGCTGAGCCAGCCGGGGAGGCCCTGCAGCGGCAGTGGCTGCGATACTGGTGGCTTCGGGTAGTGCGACTGACTCCGCTTGCTCTTGCTGCTGCTGCTGCTGCCGGTGCCGCTGCTCGTTGTGGCCACAACCGGCGTCGTAGCAGCAGCAGCAGCAGCTGCTGCTGCTGCAGCGGCAGCCTTCGCCTTCTCAGCCGCAGCATTCGCACCAGTTCCGGAGCCCCCCGCCGCCTGCTGCTGCGCACCGATGTCTTGCAGCTCCCTCACTGCCACCTCTACTTCGACAGCTCCCCACAGCAAATGCGAGAGCCTAAGGGCGTACTCACTGGCATCCAGTGCTGCTCGTTCATCTGCTGATTCAAAGATGCTGCTGCCCCCCCCTCCATTCGTCGCAGCAGCCCCGCAAGCTCCCGCTGCTGCTGTTGTTGCTGGTGCTGCTGCTGTTGCTGCTGCTGTTGCTGCTGAGCCTGCAGCGCCTGCTGCCCCGAGCGTGCCCTGGTGGTGCTGCTGCTGCAGCTGCGCACCCGCAGCACCAGCAGGGCCAACCCCTGCAGCAGCATCGGCAACCGTAGCCACGACCTGGTTGTTTGTAGGGCCTAAAAACGTTAGCGGATGCAGCTGCCACCGAACCCTAATCGCCTCTCCTGCGGGGCCCCCGTCAGGGGCCTGAGGCTGCTCCGCTGTACCTGCACACTCTAGGGGGGCCCCTGCTAGCTGCAGCAGAGCAGAGAGACCCAAACGAATAATTTGACTGCTGCTCGTTACGTCCTTCCAAAGACTGCCTTTGCGGGCGGTGACTGCTGCTGTGACCGCTGCTGCTGCTGCTGCTGCTGCTGCTGCTGCACCCCCCGAAGAACCGCTGTTCAGGGCCCCCGCAGCTGCACCGCCCGGCAGCCCTGCTATCGGCAGAGTGCTGAAGCGCTTCGTCTCTCCCGTGAGGAAGCAGCAGCAGCAAACAGAGGCCACAGCAACCAGCTCCACCAAAATAAAAGCAGAGATGCCTGCAGCAAGTCGTACTGCAGCGGGGTGCAGGAAGCAGCCAGACACCGGAACTCCAGCAGCAAATATTGTTGAAACGGGGATGGGGGCGCCTAGAGCCGTGGCAAGGACAGGCGCCCCAGCAGCACCTGAGCTGCTGCTGCTCTCCGGCTTCAGCTTCAGGTCCTCTGCTATTTGCTGCGGAGACAGAGGCGCAACTAAACGAGCATATGGCGACCCCACAGCAACACCCCACATGCAAACTCCTGCAGCAAGCGAGGGAAGCTTCCCGCTCTCCCCTAAGAGCTCCGCAGTCGATACTGCAGCAGCCGCAGCAGCACGATGCTGCTGTTGCTGCGGAACCTGCTGTCCCTGCATGTCAGGGAGTTCTGAAGGTAGTCCCGATGCCCCTGCTGCTGCTGCTGCTGTTGCCACTGCTGTTGCTGCGGCCGAGGCTACGGGTGCCGCTGCAGCAATAGGTGCTTCTGGGGTGTCGTTAAGAAATATTCTGAAGGCTTGAAGAGAAGACAGCAGAACAGGGAGAGAGGCAACAACTCCCACGACGAACTCTTCCTTGAGTTCAGCAGACGGGAAGGGACAGCCTCGCAAAGTCTTTGCTGCTGTTTCTGCTGCTGCTGCTGCTGCAGTGACAGCAGCAAAAGGAAAGACGCAGTCGTCAAGGGAGCGCGCAGCACGAAGAGCCAGAACAGCAAAGATGTCTCCATAGAGAGACACCAGAGCTAAGAGGAATGCATGCACATCAGGGTGAATCTCTATAGCTGGCGGTACATGGCCTGCGCTCAAGTCCAGCTGGGAGGCAGTTAAGAGCGAGAGCTGTCTAGACACCCGAGAGAAGAAGGGAACGAAAGCCTGAATCAGACAAAGCACCTCTTCCTGCGTCTCCGCACTCAAGATGCTCGTCTGAGGGCACTGCTGCTGCTGCTGCTGCTGCAACTGCTGCTCCTCATCCGCCCCTGCAGCAGCTGCTGCTGCTACCGTCCGCTCGTGAATCTCCGCATGCACCCGCGCCGAGACAGCATCTAGCTGCTGCTGTGCAGCGGCAACCGCAGCAAGCAAAGAAGCCTCCACCTCCGCCCGCAGAGCCCCAGACGACACCGCTTCAAGCGGCACGCAATCCGGCCCCCACTTCTTTTCCTTCTGCTGCTCCTGCTGCTTATCCTGCTGCTTACCCTGCAGCTGCTGCTGGTGCTGCTGTTGCTGCTGCTTCCCTGCGGAGAGTGAACATGAGAAAAGAGCTGCTGCACGCGGATCGGACTGCAGCAGCTCGTGCACCTCGAGGCCCTCAGCCAGCACTGCAGCAACAGCCTGAGACCGGAGGTAATCCAAAGACGGCAGCAGATCTTGTACTCCCTGCTGCTGCTGCTCCTGATGCTGCTCCTGCTGCTGCTCCTGCTGGGGACTGATGTCGTCAAGAAGCAAGAAGAGCGCGCTCAAGGCGGCAGCAGATCCCTCCCCCCTGTCCACGTGTGCTGCTGCATCCTCTGCGGCAGCTGCTGGAGCAGCAGCAGCTGCTGCTGGGAGCTCGCCTCTTGCTGCTGCCGAGTGCCGCTGCAGCAGCATTAGCCAGGCCATGGCGCGTTGCAGCCTGCTGCGCATTCTCTTCCCTGTTGCTGGTGCTGCTGCTTCTGCTCCGCTAGCTGCTGCACTGCCCCCGCTGCCGCTGCACTGCAGCGCAGTAGCGACTGCGTACAAAAGATCCCCTGCGACGTCGAGAAGATGCTGCGCCTCTGAAGCCGGCAGGTGCTGCTGCTCTTGCTGCTGCTGCTGCTGCCGCCACTTCGGGTGTGCATCCAGCGCCACTGCTGCTGCATGCATGACAGCGAGCGCCGCGCGCTCCGCCGTACCCCCGGTAAGGAATTGCTGCAGGGCTCTTGCATGCTTAGCGGTTTGTCCTGCTGCCGCTGAACGCAACACCGCAGCAGCAGCAGCACTGTCAGTAGCATGAGGACTGGAAGTGCAGATGTCACAGTAGAAACGAGAAAAAAGGCGCAGCTACAGCAACAGCTCACTCGTTGCAGCGAGACAGACTCTGCCCCACACCTCCGTCGGCGGCAGCGAGGCCGTGAGGCTTGCTACTCCCTCCTTGTTGCTCTCCTTCTTAGTTGCTGCTGGTGGAAGCTCTACTGCCAGCGCTGTGCCCACCCCCAGCAGCAGCTGCAGCAGGTCTCGCAGCCGCAGAGACACTCGCTGGCCCCAAAGCGCCTCCGGCCACCCACAAGCCAGGCCCTCAGGAGACAACAAGGCTTCCACCATCTGCAGCAACAGCAACAGCAGCAGCAGCAATAGCAGCAAGAGACAGCCGGACTTTGAAGCGCACTGTCAACATTGACGGAGAAATGCAAAAAGAGACAACCAAACCAACTCTAGCCTAGAGATGAAAGGGGGGCATGCAGACAGAAGCAGCAAAACTTGTCTCCGTCTTTCTTACCTTGAGAGAAGCTTCTAGGAGAGACATCTCTGCGCTGCGTGGATGAGCCGAAGAGACACCGAAAGTGGCAGCCAGCTGCTGCAGCAGCAAGGTCTCCCCCGCCTCTCTGTCCTGCCGCTGATCCTGTTGCTGCGGCTGCGGCTCACTGTTGCTGCTATTGCTGGCTGCTTCTGCTGCTTCTCCGGGCTTGTCCGCTGCGGAATCCCTGCAGACCCTGAGGAGCAAACAGAACACGCAATGCTCAGCGTTGCAGCAGCTACTAGCAAACTCCGGCAGCAGGAAGCAGAGCAGCAACAGCAACAGCAACAACAGCAGCAGCAGCAGCAAAGCCTACAAGATGGAATCAATCGTAGTTTGCAGCTGCCACAGGGTCCACTGAAGTGACGGGGGTGGCACTACTGGCAGCGCCACACTGGAAGGTGGTTGCAGCTGCGCTGCTGCTGCCTTTGCTGCACCGCCTGCGTTCGTTCTGCTGCTGCTGGTTCTAGATGGGGGCGGCAAAACAGCGGCAGCAGCACTCGCGGCAGTCGCAGCAGCCGCCCCAGGCGCCGCTGCTGCTGGCAGCGCGGCAGCAGCACCAGCAGCAGCAGCAGCAGCACCGCCACCACCTCCACCACCACCCTCACCACCCACCCCCCCTAGTAAATGCGAAAACACCGAAAAGTCTCCCCATAGGACATCAATTGCTGCGTTGTGCTCGAAGGCGGGGCTGCTCAGCGCAGCCTCTCTGTGTGCTGCTGGCATCCGCAGCAACGCACCCCAGGCCTTCCATAGAGAAAAAGGCGTCTTAGACTGCCAAGCATCGCTCTCCTGCAGCAGCAGCACCAACCACAACGTTAAATGCAGAAACACCGTGAAGTGCAGCGGCGCAGCAGAGCCGCATGCGCCAAAGCAGCAGCAGCACGAAATGCAGCATCGGCAAAGACAGCAGACGCAGAAGCAAATGCAACTGAACAAAGCAAAGCACAGCACCAGCAGACTGCTCTGGAGGAACGCCCTATTCCACCTGGAGGAACTTGAGACGGCGAGGCTTCTCGTTCCGCAGCCTTCCCCTGCTACGCTGCTGCTGCTGCTGCTGTTGCTGCTGCAGGCAAGGACCTCCCCACAGCCAGCTCGTGCTGCTACTGCGATACAGCGCAGCAGCAGACGCTGGAGCATGCGTAGCAGCTGGTGTTGCCGTTGGTGAGACTGCTGCTGTTGTCTCTGCGGGTGTGGGCGCCGCTGCCGCTGCTGCTGCTGCTGTTGTTGCTGCTGAGGCTGAAGCAGAGAACGACAGGGAGCCTTCCCGCGCCACCAAGACAGCCGGCGCGTTCGCAGCATGAGCAAGGCTGCGGCACGAACCACAACAGCAACAATGAAGCACAATCACCAGAAGCGGCCCTGCCCGCTGCACCTGCAACAGCAACAAAAGCAGCAGCAGCAGCAGCAAACGCAGCAACCTACTTGACGCTTTCGCTCGAGCTATCCTGAAGAAATGCGTGTCGCAACGCATCCAACACAAGTGCAACCTGAGAAGCACACTCTGCGGCTGGTCCGGCAGCACTAGCAGCAGCAGCAGCAGCACTAGAGCCTGCTGCTGCTGCGCTGGCAGCTTTGAGGGGCAGCGGCAACAGAAGGGGCCTAAAGGACGCTTTGGCGCCTCCCCTTAGGGCCTCAACAACAGCAGCATCTGCAACGCGCACGCCCCACACCACACAGGGGAACATGAGATGTGTTGCATGGAGCATCGGCAGCAGCAGCAACAGCAGCAGCACCTACAGCAACAGCAACACAGCGGCAGCAGCAGCATGTGGCGCTTACCCTCAGCTTTCAGCGCTGCCAGCTGCAGTTTCAGTCGCTGTTGCTGCTGCTTAAGAAACTGCGCGGCCAAATCTTTGTCGTAAGCTTCCGCTTCAGCTTCTGCATCAACACTGCTGCTGCTGTTGCTGTTGCTGCTGCTGGCCTTGTTGGCGAGACTATGGGCATTGGCCAGGAAACTGGCAGCAGCCGAAGCAGCAGCAGCATCTCCCTGGAGCAGTCCTCTAAGCCAGAGTATTTTCCGGGGTGTATGTACAAAGGAGTTGAGCTGCTGCTGCAGCACGTGCTGCAGCGCCTTGGCAGCCGCAGGGAAGTCGCCCTGCAGCAGCAGCACTTTCACCAGCCTTGCTGCTGCTTCCGGGTGCCCAGGAGAGAGCAGCAAAACGCTCTCCAGCGCAAACCTACAGTACCTTAGGCCTCTTATCTCTGCCAGGCCCAGGCCCCTGTGATGAGACGACATGAGGCTCCTGAGGGGCCTCCAGCTCCTGCTGCTGTTGCTGCTGTTGCTGCTGCTGCCACCGACGGTTCGTGCTGCAACGCACCCAGCAGTCGCGCCTGTGTCCGCTCCCGCAGCAGCAGCAACCGCTGCTGCTGCCGCTGCCGCACCGCCTCCCTTGCGGTTGGGCGGCGCAGTAGCAGCAGCAGCAGCCGCAGCAGCAGCTTTGGCCGCTTCCGCTGCTTCTGCAGCTTCTGCTGCCAGCGCCGTGTGTCTGCCGACGTTTGACATGAGTGCAGCAGCCGCTAAGAGGGCGCGCATCTGCTCAGCTGCCCCACAAAGGCCTTCTGTCCACTGCAAGCTCTCCGTATAGCACAATAGACTGTCTTCGTAGTTGCCTGTAAGCCCATACAGAAAAACAGCAGCAATCAACAAGGTCCGGGTACTGCGCCGCCCCTGTAATGCTGCGGTTGCTGCTGCTCTGCAGTTCCTGCTGTGCTGCAACAGGGAACAAGGAAAGCCGCAGCAGGAGCGACAGCAGCAGCTCATCAGCAAAACCATCATCAGAGGGGCCGCAAAAGCACAAGCATCCGCAGCATCTCACCCATTGCTCTCAGTGCCTCCGCCATGGTTACAAGAGCAAAGAACCCCTGGGCCTTCCCAGCCTTCTCCATCCCCTCCGGCAGCTCCTGCTGCAGCCTTCGTTTTGCAGCTGCTGTCAGGTCTCCGTCGTTCTGGTGGGGGCCCCTAAGGGGCCCCAAAGGCAAGCCGCATGCATCAAGATGCTTCAGCGCCTGCTCGCAGAGCTGATACACGTGCAACAAGTTCTGCAATTGATGCGGAGACAGCGAAGCCCCCGAGGGGCCCCCCGTCGGTACGGGCCCTGTCTCCTTCAGCAGCAACTGCCCCTCTCTCACGAGGGCCCGGGCAGCAGACAGGTGCGCCACCGCATTGGATTGAGTGGGTGGTGGGCCAGGGGACCCCAGGGGGGCCCCCTCGGGGGCCTCCTCGACCATTAGAGCAAAAGAGACAACGCCGTCTGCCCTGCTGGTGATCCTGCAGCTGCTGGTATCGTGCTGCTGCTGCCGCTGCTGCTGCTGCGTATGGGCCTGTGACCGTTCCTGCAGAAATCAGCACACGTGTTGCCAGGGTGGGCCCAGATATATGTCCGCTCGAGAGCCTCAGCAGCCAACTGGGGGCCCCTAAAGCCGTGGGCTAGTCTGTTGTCCCTCACAGGGGCCCCAAGGGTAAAGGAGGGGGCCCCTATGCCCGTGCGTACGCCCTTAAAGAGCCCTGCTTATCGCAATCCGGTGTATCCACTTTCACGAAGGCCTCAGAGAACACCCGTACCCAGACAGCTCAACTGTTGCTGCCTCTTCCTACTGCTGCTCCCGTCGCTGCCGCTGCTGCAGCGGGTGCTACCGCCAGACGTGCAGGGAGGCAGAGTGGAAGAAAGACGTTTCCTTGGATTATGGTGGGGTCTCTTGCTGCAGGGGGGCCCTCCTCTGCGTCTGCTGCAGCAGCGCAGCTGCAGCTGCCACTGCTGCTGCTGCTGTGCACTGCGGCAGCAGCAGGAGCTGCTGCAGCTGCTGCACTGCACAAGGCGTTGGCTCCTTGAGGCGCTGAGGAGAGGGGCAGCTGCTAAAGCCTGCCGTATAAAAACGAAGGAGAATGGGGAGGACAACGCCCCTGCATTTTCGAGTGTACAGTCGCCCGGGCAGCAGCTGTGGCACTCTGTAGCCCGTTCCCCCCTCTAAGCCGCAACACAAGAGGCCCCCCAGCCCCAAACTTCTCTCCGCCCCTCTGTTCTGTGTCGCATATATGTGTTACCGGAATAAACGAAGCACAGATAATTTAAAGAAATATTAATCGCAGCAGCGCCTTCTACATGCAGCTACCTGCTCCCTCCCCACGAGCAGGAGGGCCACCTTCGCATGGGGGGTTTGTGCGGCTGCTACTTCGGGTGCCTCTGCGGGGCTGCGCTGAATTTCTTTAGGTAATTCACGTGTTATTATGCTGGCCCTGAACTTGCCTCTGACGCATCGAGGTAGGGCCTCTCCAGAACGATGCAATTTGCCGCCGCTGCTTCGTGGTGCAGCTGGTTTATATGTTGGATGCGAAGAGACACGTGTGGAAGCCAGTGGAACAGCAGAGTCACAGCAGAGAATGCCACCAGTGCTTCGGTGAAGCGAATCAGCGGAAGTGGCCAGGGTTGCTACAGTAGAGGTGATCTAAGGTTGACGCCTGCGACCTTGTGGGGATAGGGCGTAGACAGGTGGGCGAGCAGAGGCCGTTACGCGGTGGAGTGCTGGTGCGTGCACAGTGAAAATATATTCAAAGCCTTCTAGATATGTTTATATGAATGCTCTCGGAAGGCACAGCTAGGGAAAGGTCCAGGCAGGTTGGCCGGGCGAGGCCTGGATCGTCTCAACAGCCAGTTGGTACTGTCGGGCAGCTTACCATTTACAACAGCTTCTATTGTGGGTCACGTTTCCTTTGTTTTTGCTCAAGATTATCATTTGGCTAGTACGAGTTTTTGGGTTGAAGTTCACGGATAGCTTGAGCCCGTTGGGGTGGCCTTGCGATTAGGGTAGAGGAGGTTACCTATCTTTCTGAAGTAATTCGAAACGGTCTCACGCTCAGAAAAGAAGCATCTTGCCTTCACACTTTCGGAGTAGCAACGCTTGAGTTCATCGTGCTGGGAGGAGGCGGGCGTCGCGTGGTGGCAGTCTCGCTAGCTGTATGACAACTCGGAGAATGCGAGGTAACGCACATGCACGAACATCATCCTGTAGATATGGGCAGGTCTCCAATCTGCATATTATGCATTGGATATTAAAGCGATGGAAACTAAAACAGCAAGCTACAGTTAAGTGTAAACGGAAGGCCACCAATACGACACTGTATGCACTAGTGGCACATAGCCCCAAAAGACTGCCCGGTAGCCATGCCTATTCCATTTATTCCGGACCTGCCTTTTGGTATCTTCTAGTGTTGGGACTTCAGTGCTGGGCAAATTGGAAGTTAGCTAGTCGCTCCTGCATACCCCTTTCGGATTATCAACAATACGGAAGCTAAACCCTAAAAGGGGAAGCTGACGCTTCATCTCGGACAGAACGACGGGAAAGAGGCAAAGAGATCACCAGCGAAAACGTAATAAAAAGAAAAATAGAGGGGCAGGAGGCTCCACTTGGTGCCAAACCCATCGTGTAATTCAGGGCTTTCATCATTTACGTTGTCCAGCGCTTCTTGCCTAGTTTAAAATGATATGAATGCCCTTCAGCCCTACAGGCTAGCATTCGCAGATTCACCAATGAGCATTCCAACCAACGTTTGCCTAGCCAAACCAAGGCGAACATGTTTCCACTTATGAGTGCACTCTTGTGTGAGAGTGGTGGTACTTCCAGTCAGCGTAACCACGGTGAATGATATAGAGTGCTTTCTCCTAAGTCGGTGTGTGCATTTCTACCTGCTCGAAGGCTGGCTTGCGAGGGCCAATCATCTGTTTTGCACTTGTCTTCAATGTTTGTGGACACATCGAAACAGGTTTTTCTTATGCTCGTGTGTACGGTTGCAGTGCAGCAACAGCTGCAGACAGGGGTGCGCAGCACTTCCTTAGAGGCCGCTTCCTCGCCGCATCATCCCTAGCCTCTCTCGCAGCTATGCTCAGGAAGCATCTAGACCTGATTGTTGCTCACACCGGTCATCGCTTGATATTGAGTCCCCTAGTACCTTTTGGTAGCATCGAATGCTCTAGGGGCACGAGCGAGTACTGGGTCGCACCCCGCAGCTGGGCAGCTTGTCTGGGGTATAGGATTGAGTAGTTCTGAAAGCGCTTGACAAAAAAAAAGCGGGGGGCTTGTGCATATATTCGCTCCAAAAATTCTGTTAAACTTTTGCCCTTCTTGCCCTCTCAAATTTTGGATATTGACGAGGATCTGCCCTCCGGCGGGGAGGCGGCCCACTGGTGGGCGCCTCATTGCGACAATGGCAATATCCGCAGAGCATCGTGCCGAAGGTGCTTTGCGGCAATAACAATGTATGAAGAACGACTCTGCTTATTCTGACAGTCCACCTGTGGCGGGCACCGTGAAGCCTGGGGCTGGAAGAACTCCGTGTTTTTCTGGAGTTCTACTTTATTCGTAACCACAGACGTTATTGGAATCCTTTACATTTAAAGGGGAGGCACCACGATAGAGGATTATTACGTGCAGTGTACCTCATTTTTAAGCATTTTCTGTGTATGGAAGCCTTACGGGCTGAGCTGCGCTGTAGTTTCATTCCGACTTTTGCGGGGGAACAGGCTACAATAGAGTAACAAAAACTTCTACAAGGGGACCTACCGGTACAGCAATGCATTAAGAATTATCTTCCTTGGCGAATAGAAGTCCAACGATGGACATGAGCTTGTACAGTGGGGTTGTACTTCATTCGATAGTTGCTACCAGGGCAGTCCAGGGGAACAAGGCACCCCAGAACAAGACTGGCAGCAACTCATATATAGATACCGTGGACACTGGAGCTGTGAATGCCAGTTCCGTCCCGCAACGCATAGGAAAAGAGAGCAGACAGCAGTGAGCGGATCCGGACCACAGAAATCCGGGCGGCATATCCGTTTCTTTTGCAAAAAACAAGGTCGCATTACTCGAGACTGGAGGCGAATGAAGAATGTATGCGTAATTGGAGAAGCAATTCTTTGAGCAGTGCACCCAGTGGGACCAACAAAGGACCAGGGAAACAAGCTGGTTTCCATTCAACACGCGGAGCACTGGTGCAGCTGAAGAGGTGACAGCAGCACGTGCAGTTTCGGCTCAAGTTAATTCCGCGCTTATCCACTACCGGTCAGGAGTTGCTAGGGCTGCGAGGCCCAGTCTACAATTTGGCTCTGATATGCTACGGTATTACGAGGATATACAGCTTACCTGTCTACTTGTTGGCGCACTGTCTGTAACCCGTTTCTCCGGAGGCAAGCCAGCAAGAGCGATCGGTAAACTAGTCTAGCGGAGTGCAAGATCAATTCATAAATTCGTCATACTACAATGGCTCGAAGCTATTATGTTGAACCAGTGCCACACGAGATAATCCTATGCATCTCGTGGATGACTGAGTGGACGGCTCGCATGCTGCCTTCAGGAGAAACCGTTGGGATATATCTGCCTGAAAATTACAAACGAATGCTCCTTCTAGCGCCCCCAACACCACTTGCACCCTCTCCGTTAGGGAATGGACTCAGTTTCCTAAAGAAAAGGAGCTGGGATGTGCCTACGCAGTGCAGAGGCGCTGCAGGAGCAAACGGAGAAATCCATAAACTCCATCGTGACGATCGCATGCGACTTTAGGGTCTTCATCCAAACAACTTCAAAGGAATGGCACAGTAGGCTCAGTTCAAGGCAGACTAGTCTGATGTGCTGTATAACAAGCAGCTTCCAGCGGGATGGCCACCCGCTGGGCGGCCGCATCGAACACATTCACCGAACAGCCCCAAGCTTTGTACCAAGGTAAAGAACGCGGTCACTTATTGAAGAGGGAGTCAAGCGGCAAGCCGACAAACTGCTGTGAACAGGCAAATTTCAGACGTCAGCTAGCGCGTTTGGATACAGCCCGGCAGCGGGAAGGGGAAAGGACCAAAGGCGACGCCTGTCGTCGACTTCAAAACCTTCAACAGTTGGCGAACTACTTCAGCGCTTGTAGGATTCAGGACTATTTTCATCGTACAAGAATTCGCTGAGGCTTTCTTTAAGTTCCTGGCGCACTCCGAGGACAGGCATGCCAGCGTTGCAAATCAGCACTCGCGAAGTAGAGCACTTGTATTCCATTTGGGCCTGTGAATGTGCCCACTGAAATGCAGCAAAAGATCATGTAGGTTGCATCTCTTTGCGATGGATTCAGATGCCACACCCACTTCGCAGCCTATGTCAAGTAGCCCTAGCTGAGCATTAACAAGAAGCTGGATAAGCACAGAATTGATTCGAGGAGGAAGTGAAGGTGCGGCTGTTAACTCTGTGGGCATAAGCCATAGGTAACGCCGTCGCCAGGATCTCTCCCTGATCGCCTTGTTTGTTAGCCTGGCAGCGCTGCGTGAAATGGTGCCCAGTCAATTCCTTTGCTCTTCTCATGCATCGGAAATTTCGCATTAAGCGTCCCTGTTTGTTATGAAAGAAGTACATGTGCTTAGCTGGGTATTTCCTCTGGTTCTTGTAGGTTCGGGAATCCGCCGCCGGCCTTCTGTTATCGTCTCTTTCCTTTTTTTGGCTGGCTCGCGTTCACAGCCCCAATATCCACGGGCTAGATATTTTGGCCACCGCCAAAGCTGCTTCCTTAATTATCACGTGGAGCGGGAGAAGTCGCATCTTTTCGCTCTTCGAAGTGTAAGCACTTCATCGTGTCGGCCATCTCCACGGTTTTACCCTGTAGTCGCCACTCCACAGCAGAGACGCCTACCAATTTCCTCTTCTCAGGGGACAGTGCTGCTATAAACCACTGTAGATAGAAGTTCCAGTTCCACCGTTGGATTTTGGTTCACCAGGCACTACTACTTCTCGGTCTAGCGCTCTATCGATAGCTTCGCTTGTTTGAGGTTTTCTCACTCTTGTCAACACCTGTTTGCTTGCAGGTCTGAGAATGAATCAATATAGCAGCGAATGTCTCAGAGCTTCGATAATCCGCAGGTGTTCCAACAAGGCGGTCTCCTTGCTTAGACATAGTCACCATTGTCGTGCTTTACCTTCCAATAACGGAAATGCTAATAGCAACCCTCGCTCTTCAAGTGCAATTTTAAGCTGAAAGTACAGCTCAAGAGAAGCAAAAAATTCCTGTTGCCCCCTCATCCTGGCACCCGTAATATATGAAAAGCAAAGGCGGTGGCACTATTCATGAATTGCTTTTTGCTGTAATGGCATTTTCCGCTGAATGGGATGCAGATAATATTCATGTTCCGAAGCGAGAGACGCTTAGATATTTCGCTCCTCCTCAGCGGAGGGTGGACCCTAATCTATTTGCATTACACGGTGGAAAAAGGCTTTACAGAACATCTGGATGTTTTCGATTGTATTTTTTGGGAAAGCGTATGCATCATTAACCGCTGCTATGCACCAGAACCCCATGATCTGGGGTAGGATCAGTTTCCTTCACCTGCATCAATGAACAATGCAGTGATAACAAGTGTAGAGAAGTGCCTCAAAGTTTGCTGAGGTCAGCCGCGAGCTGCGAAACGGTCAAACACTGAGGATGAGCGTTCCATAGAACCTAGGTGACCTTCACGCCTGTTCTCAGGCATCCTGGGAAAGCTCACTTAAGGGCTTGCTGCAGGCGCGCAGAGTAACCGACTTTTCACGAGCTGGAACGAAGCTGCAGCTAATGCTGCAAGGCACCCCAACATGCAGGCAGTGCCAAGCCCCAAAACGATATGAATTTTTTAGAAACCCCCATTTTATTTACTCAAGTGTCAGTATCCACTCTTATTCTGTACTACATTTTTGCACCACCGTTGGTAGCCGTGGCATGATCAGTGAATACTGACAATTGAAAGGTAACCAGCCACCAATTTTTCGGCGGAAAGCTGTAAAACCTAACAACTTCTGCATGCAGTAAGAATGTAGACAATCGTTGAGCTCTCACTCGGACTCTTAGCCAGCCTGCGGGCAGGAAGATCTACTGTCGGGAACTCCACGCAGAGGATGATCCACAGATGCATCCTTGTTGAGGCACGCAGGAACGTTTCCGTGAAATAATTGTCGATTTCAGCTGAATATATTTGGGTTAAGCGTAGGGGTGTGCCATCATGAGTAAACAGGAGACTCGCTCCCCGCATCTCTCGCGTGGAGCGGTGCAGTGCCGAGCGGCATTTGGGGTCTGGACGAGAAAAAGATCCAGCCAGAAAACTAGACGGTGGAGACGCGAGGAAAGGTGTCCTATCGCATATTAAATTGTGGGTTATTGGTTGAGAACTCATCTGGAAGTGGGATTTTCAGCCTAATCGCTGTGGTGTCTCTCGCAAGTCCCCCTTCGCTCACGTCCCTGCCCACTGCGTTCGGTTAAGGTCAAGCCTCAGGGCAGTCAGTTCTGATGTTACTTGTACCTTCCCGTTTGTAATGCTGCATTGAACAATTTCGATGTTTCTTTATCTATGATGCGTGCTTGTTCTTTCAGCTGACTTGGGGGCGAGATCGTGCTCTTTCCGCCCTCATCTCCTCTCCGGGTGAGGGAAGGCCTGCCAGGCCACGTCTACGAAGGCCGTGGGGCGTGTCCTTTGTCACCTCCCTCCTTATTGTGTCTGAAATGGAGGCCGAGGTGCAGGCGCAGGAGTCGGGTGCAGGCCCTGAAGTTGGCTCTCCAGCCACAGAGGGGCCGTTTCCCGCTAGTCCCCTCAGTTTAACCCTTCCAAGCCCTGAAAATTCAAAGAAAAAATCTAAGGGCTCGTCGCGAAAGAACTCCTCGAAGAAACGCTCGAAATCCTCCAAAAAACGATGGGGTGCCTTGCTTGGTGCAGCGATTTTTGGGATTTTGCTCGCGATCGTAGGTGGCTGGGGAAAGCTGAGGGGAGTTTCGACCACCGCCCCAAAACAGAAGCTCGCATATCCGGGAGCCTCTTTTCCTGAGGGCACTCCAGATCCCAGCCAGAGCCCACAGTCTCCTGCCCAGGGACAAGGCGAGGAGAAGCCCCAGGAGCAGCAACCGTCACAGCCTCCTGCTCAACCGCCTCCGCCACCGCCTGAGCAGCAAGAGCACCCGCTGCAGTCTACGGAGGAGCCGCCCCCGTCACCGCCTCCCGATGAAGAGTACCCGTCGGAGCCTCCAGATCAACCACTCCCGCCCCCGCCCCCGCCTCCTGATGAAGAGTACCCGTCGGAGCCTCCAGACCAACCCTCCCCGCCCCCGCCTCCTGATGAAGAGTACCCGTCGGAGCCTCCAGATCAACCACTCCCGTCACCACCTCCGACACCTGACG